TTCCGATGTCAAATCAGTTTAATTTACAATAGAAGTGATGTAAGTTACGAGGCAAACGATTTGCTTAGTTATAATAGTTTCGATATCGATTTAAATCGCAAGGAGGCATCGAGTCATGACGAGATCGTCCAATTTGTGGTGAATTCGAATCGATACCGAGAAACTATTGTAATGAACCAAACTGTTTGCCTCGTAATTTACATCTTCTCTGTGCTAATGTAAAATCGCTACGATTACATGATTTTCGATCGATTTGATTCAATTAGCAAAAGTTTTACCGAAAACCGTGTGCTGATAATGAGCGCCGAATTTATGTTCTTTTACTTTCGTTTCACGAATATGGCAGACCGCATGAAGTTAGTAATGAAACAGTACGCATTCTTAAGCAGTTTGAAAATGGTGCTCTACGTCTCCCTTAAACCCCTAACTTATTCGGAATTAATAATAATAAAAATGTTATTAAAAAAGGTAATAATTCATAGTCGATCTTTTTGAATGTATTCGTTTATTCGCATTTTTTTTTTTTAAATTACTGGTACATTTATTTTCTGTATTGTTTCTCTTTCTATTATCTTGGATGATTTATATTCCGGGATATTTCCTAGATATGATGTTACAAGTTGTAAGTTGAGAACTTATTTAGGGTATCCTTTTTTAATTTATTTTGATTTCAGAAGGGGGAGTTCTAAATCGTCTAGGTCCACTGCTAATTATAAGTCTGCAATTGTAAGGTTGTGAATTTGAAAGCAATAATTTACTACGTTTACCATCAATTTTTTTATGTAACCGTTTAATTTTTGGATTCGTATAATAGCACGAGTTAATTTTGTTTATTTCCGTTGTAGTTTCTCTTCCTTTTTCTTTTTTTTTTTTTGTTTTCGCATGCCACCTACGGCTTGCTTGGTGTGTTTGTGCTCATCCCGCGTTCACGTTAACGGATCAGATAAATTATGATTTTGTTTCGTTTTTCTTTTCGTTACTTATTCACAGCTTACACCGTGCATCATGCAACTCGAGACCACCGTTATTGGGTCGCCGTGTACAGTAATGTACACCTCCACATACAATAAATACTTGCAGTTAAATGCAAATAATTGAAACGGAATGCATTATTCACGAAACAAAGTAACGAAAAATTCCTGTGTGACTGCAGCGGCTGTTTAACGGCGGTAAACTTTTTGCATCTTGCTTTCTTTAATATAGCTCTGCGAAAGGATATGAAAAATTGAAATAGGTAACTGTAATTAGGCATTAGGTTTATAGAGATTTTGAACAATTTTATTTATTGTTAATTAACATATTAACTGTGAGTTTGAAGCTCCTGACTTCTCCGTTTTGTGTACATATGTAAATAATAATATGCATTATATGCATGAATTTAATTAAAGTAATTTTTATTAGTTGAAGTGGAGACTTGCTAAATAGTATACAAAAACGAATTTTATTTAATAAGTAATCATATACTTAGTCTCCATTTAAAAGCGGCCTTTATCAAAGGGTCGAATTTTAAAATATTAATGTGAAAATTCATTTTCAATTTTCCATCCACAAAAATTATGGGTTAAACTTTCGAGTTCCCCGTATACAATATGTAAAAATCATAAGATCTTTTTACTATTATTTAATTAATTTTTGTATAACCTAGTGATCCAATTATTTTGGAAGTTGCCTGGCCGAGTGCTTCAATCCAACGCTTTAAAGGTGTCCATGAATAACTCAAACTAATGGTGAAAAATTACCAACTCTAAGATAAACAGCACGTGATAGGTGAATGTATTCTCAGATAAAGCAATGCAAAAATATTAACAAAAAATTCTGTACCCAATAGGCAGTTTAACTGTTTAGCGTATTAAGAACTTATTTTTTGATTGAGTATTCGGTAAATACATATTTTTCTTTGAGTAGGTAATTGAAATCCTGATATTATCTGTTAAAAATCTGAGTATTGGTTTATTGTTTTCGCTGAAGCAGTTTAACTAGAAAATAGAGTAAAGAAATGCGCCAGAAAATCATGGTACAGGATGAATAGTTTTCACGTTGGACGCCTATATCACGAATTTTGACAATTTCAGCCAAGTATATTGTGTATTTTATGTACATTTCTTCGTATTATAATTTACGTATATTGAAGTTCTTAGGCTTTCACGACCGGCGTCTATCGACGCTGTGTTTTCTTCCGGGCTTTTTGGCCGTGGTCCGTGGAATCTTGCTTTTCCAGACGTTTCGCCGTTCTTTGCTGACGGCATCTTCAGTGGTGACTGTTCAGGTGCTGAGTGCCAAAAAGCCCGGAAGAAAACACAGCATCGATTACGTATATTGAGTTATTAATCGTTTTGGTTAGTTTTCAAACTCACTACTTATTGTTAGTATAACACCATTTACCTCTGTTGACAAGTTCCTAAAAATATGAAATATTATGTTTCTAGTAATACCTAAAATATATTTATCTTTTAAGAATAAGACCTAGTCTCAACGAATGTTTTAAGATAGAGTTTTTAGAAAAAAGATGTGATTATAGGACAGGTGCCTCGTTCTATTTCCAATAATATCTGATGTTAATTAAATTCCTTTTCGGTCTCATTGTCATAAATGAAATTAAATTTGCCTTTTATGGAGCATTTGTCCGTATTGAAATTTTTTTAAATATTGACATCAATTTTGCAAAGAAATTCATTTACTTTTATTGGAAGTCACTGTTTTATTGATTGTTGTTTTCTTATTTCCCGCGTCATCATAAAGATGAATTTCTAGCAGAGATTTTGTACAGATGGCCTTTAACACTACTCTTCATTTATTACTATTAATGCTTTGTCGTTAGGTATTTGCCTATTTGTTACGTAATAAATTTCCTATATACTCACTACATGATTCACCCTCATAATTTACACTGTGAAGTGTATAAGAAAGTCACATTTCTTTATTTGTCTTAAAGGACATGTGTACGCGTCTGTTTTTCATCGGCATCGTGAAGCTAAATGTTATTTATAAAACAAATGCAATTTGTTAACACTTAGATGAGATTTTAATTTGTTGTGATTAGATTTATCTCTTATTAAATTATGCAGTACAAGAAGAACTTGAAAAAATCATCCCAAAGTAATCGTAGCATGAAGATATAAATACAAGTTTCTATGCGTTACGGAATTCTAACAAGTAGCTTGACTTAAGTCTCGTAAACTATTAATTATTATGATACCTAGATACTGCAAAGAATATAAAATGAAGTGAGATGTAACTATAGTAGCAGATGTTTAAAATTCTTTAACCTGAAAGCAAATATTACGGATAATAATAATGACGGGACTTCCTGGAATCACCTGCCACGCATCATTTAATAGTGAAAAAGGAAAATAATAAGCTTAAAAATAGAAGATGCGGAGCCTAATTACGTTGACATTTCAGGCATGCAACGCAAGACTTCTTTTAATCCTGTAAGATTTTTCAGAATTTAACTTAACTTAACGGTAATATTATATGAACTACACAATAATTTCATTAAGTATCTAATATCATTAATATTTTTCACCAAAATAAATACCTTTATCTTTATACGGTGAATTCCTAACCAGGAACTTATTGTTCTTTATTAATTTGCGTGTCTACCGGGTATATAAAGCGCGTCATGGATTTGATAAGTAGGTACCTATATAATCTTGTCGTACATATGAATTACAGTAGTTGGTAGTAAATATCATTGGATAACCATATTATCTATAATTTGATGCCAAACATAGAAGTCAACCTTGGCGGATGCGCCAGGTTTGTCTGTAGTTCATACCGGCAGCATTTAAAGGCATAAGAAAATAAACAAGGTTTTTAGAAACCTAAAATTCATACATTTTATTTATTATTATTTGTCTACTAATTTTGAAACTTCATCATGTAGTATAGCAATAAAAACTCAATGTATGGACCCCTTTTTATCAAAAACCACACAATTAATCCATTTAAATATGGTGGTATTATTATACAGGGTGAGTTATAACTATTTAAACAAGGTAAGTGCAGGGTTATTTGAACTAAAATATGAAGATTTGACTAAAGGTACCTTAATAAAATGTTGCTGTAAAAAGAGATACAGAGTGTTAAAGAAGACATATTAGTTTCGTTTTTTGGTAATAATTTCACATGATTTTCATAAATCATTATCAAAATTGACACAGAGGTACAACTTTAGGCAAGAAATATTATTTAACTTTCTAGTTTACATTTTTTTTTATAGAAGGTGCCACATAAGCAGTTCCTGACAATGAAATTGGGTCATACTTTTTTTAACGAAACTTTTAATTGATAATTTTAATTGTTTTCTTGATAAACGTAGTTGAACATTTAAAATTCGGAAAGAAATTTCAAATAAGAAGTAGCAAGGTATTAGTCTGCATTATCAGCGAAGATAGACAATAAAATTTGTGTCTGGTGATAGTATAATTGTAGTACACAATTAATGCAGCTAGATGGCAGGATGAATAATATTATTCGATAGCTGGGGTGATGCATGATATTCAAAAAGGTATCAAAAGTTGTACAACAGTGATAAAACAAAATAAATTAAATAAGGTGCTAATCTGCTGTAGAATCAAAAGAAAAAAAATATTTTTCGATTTGTTCGTAATCCATACCTATAATGTACTAGTTTTAATTAATTCAGGAATGTTGTACTCCATTGCATTTTTTTGACATGTATTGTGGACACGAAAAATACAAATAGGTACTTCAGTACTTTTTAGGCAACTTAAAAACATTTGTAGTAAAAAAATTTACTTAATGGTAAATACGTTAAAAAAAAATAGTTGTAAGTAATAATTATTTTTCTCAGTTTTGAAAGACGATACACGAAACAATGTTCCATTTCAATGGTTAATAATGTTTTGAATAAAAAACAACATTAAATAAATCAACGTTATATTTTTAACATTTAATAGAACGTTACGTCCACCGTATATATAGTCATCGTCAGTTCATTTCTAGGCAATATGTTGTTTCTTATAAAATAAAGAAAAGCCATACAAACATTTAATAGACTACGAACTATTTTTATAAAAACGTACAAATATAACACATACAAAAGTCGTATAATACATATAGATACACAATTATAGATAGCAGCAGTCCGTTTAGATAACGACTACGAAATCTGTACGGGTTCATTGTTATCATCCATTTCATTCACTGCTCTGGTCCACTGAAAATATCATTGTGACGACTACTGTTAATTATTAAACACGTAAAGGTATAATGGTAATTTGGCCAAGCTTAAAATGGAATTAACATTAGATGTAAAAAACATAGTGGTGTTGTCATCCTGATATTTATTAGTAAATAATATTGTACGTATATATTTATTGTTGTCGGATACTTATAACTCTTTCTCGACTGTCCTCTCTGTTTACTGAATTTCTTCGCGGGGGTGAATTTCCCGACGAAACTTTTGACTTCCTCGATCTTTTGAATTTCGCCATATCCTCTCCGAAAACATCTCCCGTTCTTAAAGCTGATATTAAGTCGTCAAACTCGCCTTTTCCGCTGGAATCGCCATTTTTCACTCCCGTATTTTTGTTTATTGAAGAAAGGATTCCTTCACGTGTGTGTTTCCTTTCAAGGGTCAACTTTTTCAACTCTGCCTCCTGTTTAGCTCTCTTTTCTTCCTCCTCTTGACGTTTTTTCATATTTTCATTGTCCTGTCGTGCTTCTTGGAGCGAAGCCAGAAATGAGTCGAAAATTCCGAAAAATTCATCGGGTTGCATCACAGTGGGATCTTCTCCAAATAGACGAACAGCACGGTCGAATCTTGTCTAAAATTAAGTAAAAAACCGATAATAAAAAATTCATTAAGGTTTACGATTCAACTAAATTTTTATTTTAAATCGTTGGAATTTAATTAACTTGCCTTCATGTCCTGAAATTGATCTTCGATCTCTGCAAGCCGACAGGTGGCTGTAGCTTGGAATTCTCTCATTACGGGAACAAATTTGTCGTTAGCCAGTGGACTTTGTCCCCGGTGGAATTCAATTTCTCGGGCGACATCTTTTAAACCGGCCCTTAATTGACCCATATCCTTCGTGAGTTCACCCAAGGATACTTTGGCTGCATCTCTGACGTGTGGAATATCTTCGTCGATTCTCAGGACGTCTTTGAACTATCGAAACAAAATATTTATTTAGAGAAAGACAATCGGCTAGTTTAATGTACCTTTCTTTCTAAAATTTGCACCAAATAATGTAACAGTGTGGTTCCCTTGGCGGCACTAGATTTGGTATCACCCAAACGGTTTAGGGAGGCCAATCGGAAACCCAAAGCATTTCCACGAGCACCGCGATTCATGTAATTTCCAAGTGCCAATACAACCTCTAATAGCCTGCGTAAACGACGAGATCTGGCCACTTCTCGGGAAGCTTCCATTACATTTGCAATTCTCGGCGATATTTCGGTGAGAGTTACTTGAAACCTTTTTTTGTAATGCAAGCTTCGTAACCGCTGTTCGTAATGAGGTACCCTAAAATGAATTAATGAAGAAAAATTCGTTATCGAAACGTAGAAGATACTTACTTGGAAATTTCGTAAAGAAATCGATCAGCTCTAGCCAAGGAATCGATATCGTGACTGTGTTCCTCCAACAGAGCTGCTTCTTCCGGACTAGGAGTAAATTTGAGAAGTTGTTCTACCATATCAATAGGTAGCTGTTCTTTGCTGTCCATACTTAAGATAGCCTTTGATATCTCTTCATCAGACATTTTTAATTTCGATAAAAGAATGGTGCAATTTTGTGCACGACGACCGTCAATTACTGACAGCACTTTGGTTTTGTTTTTCCCTAACGTTCGAAGATCTTCAACTGATCCTTCATTCTATAAATATCGTGGCATTAGTTACAAAATCATTTTAAATGCTACCTTTAATTAAGACTTACAGCAATGCCGTTCTTTTGATAGGCACAGAACAGTTTGTCGATTGAATCCAGTTCCATTGCGTTGTACAGTTTGGTGTCGTCTAGTTCGCTCCATATCGTTCCAGAAACTTTCGTTTCAGGCAATTTGGACCAATTAAACGATTTCAAAGGATTCGAAGGTTGAGGAATGTTCTTCTTTATAATTTCCACTTTTAAAGGAGCACTTGGGGGAGCAGTAGGTGCACATGGTGGTGGAGGTGGACCAGGTGCAGGAGGAGGCGGGGGAACTAATGGGGGAGGCGGTGGTGGTATGGAATAATCTTCTTTGTAGCCCAGTCCGTTTACTTCAATTGTTCCGTTTTGAAGCCCAATCATTTTTGCATCGTCCGGTATACTTCCAGAAGTGACAATCTTTTCAAGGCGATACCGTTCTCCACGTTCGCAAGAAATTTGTCGATCCAAATCTGCTGCTCGGTATTCTAGTTCTTCAAACTTTTGACGAATTTCCATATGAGCAGCCGTCTCTTTTTCTAATCTTTCTTTGATTCGTGTCAGACTTGATTCTATATCTTCCTTCTCCTGTGTTTTTTGATCGAGCTCTTGCTCTTTTTTGGCCAGTCGATTCGACAGATCACTATTTTCCCTTTCCAATTCTTCAGCTTTCTTCCTTGCTTCGACAAGTTCTTCTTCTTTGGCTAACAAATGTACTAATTCTTTAACGTTTATATTAATTGGTGAAAGGTCTGGGTCTTTGGGTTTTTGTGGGTTGCTGGGATCATTTTGCTGTAAAACTATCTGCTGAACAATTCTGTCAAACAAGAGCCAATGTTGTGGATACGATCCGTAGTCTAAAGGAATCAAAAGGCAATGCTTCAAAACCGAAAGGAGATGTGGATATGCGGCTGAGTGACTTAGTCTCTTTCGGATTACTTCAAACATTGAAGAAGCGCTTTTTGTATCGACATGATCCTGTTCAAACTTTCTGGCAAGTTCCTTTTCATCTTCATTTCGTACCATCTCAAAGAAGTCCAGATGCCTGTTTAGAGTTTCATTTTCATGCCTCCTAAGCTTATCGATTATTGGTTGAATACCTAGCATCAGAAATTCGTATCTCAAGTGTAAGCGAAACTCTAAATTTTCTTGACCCTGTCCGTAATTAAGAACTGCATTAATGAATGACATAATTGCAGTTTTAAGATTAACTTCGTCCCGATAAATTCCGGTATCTCTATCCAAGTCGTTGATAATGCCTTGAAATCGGGTCCGTTCGTAGGCGTACTTTTGATAATGCAGCATCGCATCTAATACTTTTTTATGACCACCTGAGACTAGACAGACCGCACCGAGGATTTCTAAGACTGCTATTTTCGTTTTGATATTTTCTGTACTCAACGACTGAGCTATAATGTTTATGCTTGTAGGATGTGCTAAAACGTGCGCTCTTCCCATCTGTAATAAAATCATCAGTGATGATGAAACTATTCACTATAAAAATATTTTTTGTTTAATGAGCTGAATTTTCGAATGAAAAAAAAAAGACATAAGGGAAGACGTACTGAGTTGTTCATGAGGGCTTTAACGCATCCTATGATACTCGTATGTATAGAGCTTTGACTTGTAAAGTAGTCCATTCTCTCCAGGAATTCCAACAGAGCCGGCAGGCCGTTCAGCTCCATGAATCTTATAACAAAGCTGTGCGTCGACGTCCTCAGGGCAGTTTTTAATCCATCGATTTGTTTCGTTCTTGTGCGAACTTCTTCTTCCGTATTTGTTTCGGGGTATTGAAGCTGAAAAATGTAAATTTTCACTATGCCACCATAATTATCTATAGAATTATAATTAAATTATTCAAAAGGAAAACAATACAGAAATTTTCCCCTAAACAGAAAAAGTGAAAATTTTATCAAATAGCTTGTATTAGGCGATAAGTGAATTTTTTATAAATAATGTGAAATAAGATTTCTGTCTCTTGCAATGATGAAAACAACGATTCTGTTTACTTAAACAAAATACAAATTTAGTTCATGCCTGAAAATAACCAAAGATTTGGTGAAATCATGAATGAATAAGATGCAAGAAGTTATATTAAAATATAAAAGTGAGTTTCAATATATCATAACTAGAAAATATCCTTTGTTCTTTAGAAGTCCTGCGGTTGTTTTATTATAAAATAATAATTAACACCAATAATTTTCAAAACACTTGTAGAAAAAGAGATGACTGCTCATGCTTCTCATAATAGCAACAGTGGATTTATGAATTCCGTTATTAAACTGCATATATTTTTCTTAATAAACGATTTATTTCTAATTAGAAGTTTGATTTAAAGATATTTTTGCAGGCAGCGGCAATAAACTACCTCAGATTGATATCAAATTGAAATTGCTTTCTTGTTTGCCGCATGCACGCCGTTCTATTTCTACTACTTATAATTTATCTTGAGGGTATTTTAGTACCTGTATAAGAATCTGAAAGAGTAAACGAAGAAAAAATGTCAAGAATTATTAGTAGGAGTTGTCTATTGGTATGTTTGTGTATATGCATAGCTAAGGAAGTCGAGTGCGCTAAATTAACGTTTGCTGCAGGCATCATTGCGCTCTTCAAGCATCACTAAAAAGACGACAACATACGCATTATTATATGTACCTGTACGTTGCATTGGTAGGTGCTTACATTCTTTCAGGAAATTGCTTCGGGGAATCCAGTCGTCTTTGTATTTTATAATGACTGTCTACTAGATTCATATTTCTAGAATTATTCATTAGAATATGAACATTCCTCTTTTAATTTTTGCTCAATTTATGTTTATTGCGAAAACGTAATTAAGTGCCGGATATAAATTTCTTGTTTAAATTATAATTATAAATGCAAATAATTTACTATGAATAATGACCTATGATATAAACCGTCTCCCAAAAATCCTCAAAGAATTCAGCGATCTCTTTAAGGTTTTTGACGAATTCTAAAAAATCAATATAGAGCTTTCAAAACGAGAAATCTGTTGCTTTGTTGAATTGTTTAAGAATATGTTATATTAGTAATCAAACCCAAACAGGGACAAAAAATTCATTACTGTGTAAAAATTACCTCCTAAATTATTGAGCTTTTTCTCGACGGTAGTTTTTACATAATAAAGAGGTTTTTGTCCTTTTCTAGTTTGGATTATTTTAAAAAAAATCATATAACTGAAGGAGGAATGAAAAATGTGAAAAATGCTATAGATTGATGTTCTTTACTATTTGCATTACCTGAAAAGTAAATCACTGCATGTACGTGTTACATATGCACCATAAGTACTAGTATTCAGTTGTAAACTTTAAATGGAGCAACTTCATTCTAAATCAATTTTCCCCGTTAATGTAAATATGGAGTTTACAAACGAGTATTGATGTCACATATTGATAACTGATGCATTTCCTCCAGAGCTGTGGTAAAAAACCGCTGCTATAAACGATATGTTAATACCCGACAACATATCATACCCGAAAGGGGATGCTTGATGAGTTGACATAATTTTTTTTTAACTTTTTAAAGGGTTGGAAAGATTGCCCTGATTTGAAGTTTAATCAGGTATCCGGCATGTAATATCAAATTATGGTAGTAGCTATGCCGATATCTACTTAACGCTTCCTTACCTAATAATATGTCGTTTTAAGCGATCTCGCTATCATAAAAAATTCTGAATATCGATCGCAAATTCAGCTCCTGATTCATTCATCAGATTTAATAAAAATATTCCTCAATAAAAGTAGTGAAAACTTAAGAACGCACGGTTCGTTAAAATAAAACATAATTCTTTTTATTAACAAAAGTAAAATAATTCATTTATTTAACGGTGGGTTAATTGAGATCTATTTATTAAAAATTACCGTAGCCAAAGTCTGTAATCTTTCGATGTAATGTTCTGGGGCATGGTCCTGATCAACAAAGTCTTCACCGCCTTTCCTGGAACAGTAAATTTGCCATTTTTTCTCTGGAGGGAGATTGAGCATGGCTGTTTTGTTTGGCGCTGTGAGATCAAGTTCTTCCTGTAAATGATAAAGAAATTCTAAAAAATATTTAACACAAAATAAATATTTTTTAATTTCTAGATGTAGATTTCTTTTGATTTTAGGACGTTGGCTAATTTCTAATTCTTTGGCTTTTTTTAATGTGTATAATATCATAACATATTTGTAGTATGACAATCGGTCAGTAAAGGTAGATGCAAATTATACGATTTTATCTCCGTTCTTGGACGATAACATCTTAGAAAAAGTGAATGCGCTAGAATGCAGCAATTTGGCACATCTAAAGATTTTCTTAGATTGGGCGCAGCTACCGAAGAACGTGGTTAACTTATTAATTAAAATGAAAGATATACTAATAATAGGTGTACGAATGGAAAGTTAAAAGTTAGCAAATTAGTGTGATTAGAATCAGTCGATCAGTTGACTATTTTTAGCATAATCAGTTGCTAACGCTATGAATTAGGAATGCAAAAAGCTTTTTAAATATAAGTTATTATATGGCCGCGTTTTTAATAATTTAATTTATGTTAAAAGAAAATATTATTTGTTGAAGTTCCATAGTCAACTGAAGGTAATGAAAGTAAAGTCTTCTATCATTAATTATATAAAATATTATTTACAGTTAAAACTAATTTATCTATGGTAAACATTAGTACATTATCCTTTTTTTATAAATGCACTTTTATGTACATACATCGCTTTATTTTGTAATTGTTATTATAAAAAACCATTTATTGAAATCATGGTCTCATTGTAATATATTATCCAGTTAATTGCTTTTGTTCCGTTTTATGGACGTCAGTATTCCTTTTTTGGATTGAATCCTTTTAAATAGCAGCAAGAAGTGATTTTTGTAATGTGTTTTTACATTCACTTTTTTACACATCATCGACTTTTTAAACAATAAATGCTTCCTATTTTGGATTAAGGTTATGAAATGATTTATACCATTGTTTCTTGAAGCTAGAAGATTTTTGATAACATTAGTATACGTAATCACTTACAAAATATTACCACAAAAGTAGTGAGATGCTAAACTGTTATGATTACCACATAAGGGTAATTTTCTTTTGTATCCGATTTCATAACACAAATTTAGAAATCCTAGATATAATTTTGCTATTAGAAGTAAAAATGCTTTGGTAGCTTAGCTATTGTATTAGATCTACATGATCATTAAGGTAAACATTTCTTTTATCGATCTGTAACCAATTACTGTTTTATTGGTTAACCTTGCAGTTCAAATGCTTTTGCGTTGTTTAGATTAAGATTACCTGTAAGTACCTGCAGTACATGTACAAAAGACGGTATTATTTCGTTCAGAAGAAAGAAATGGTTAACGGTCCAGCAACATTGTAATAGATCCGACTATAATAATTAAAGGTGGGCAATCAATGGTAAGCCACGAAGGAAATTTACTTCCTACAATTGTTTTGATGTTTCCTGTTCCGATAGCGAGATAGATTAAACAAACAACCATGGAAAAGAAACAGTATTCACTTGTTTTTTTTTGTGCAAAATATAAATCATGGCAACCTATTTCAAATAATAGAAAAACTATATAAACAATGAAAAACAGTAACATTGGAACAGATGCAAGAAAGGGATTCGTTTAAACTTGTTGCTTCTTATTGGACAACACCAAAATTAAGACTTATTCTAAAAGGGTGTTTCGGTGGCCGGTAGTCAACTCGCAGATCCACACCAAACTATAAAAATTTAGGGCATAATAGCAGATTCCAAACATTTTTTATTTAGGACGCTGGTTGGAATATATTAAAATGCCGTGAAATGGTATTAGAAACCAATCCCTACTCACACAAAATGGCCTTCAAATTTTCTAGAACGTTCTAGAGTTTCTCAGTCCAATACACTATAAGATTTTACATTCGGATAATCTCTGAGAACATTCTGGCTGAAGACAACGCTAAGAACATTCAAGAACATTCAAAAACATTCTCGCATTCAGCAGCAAAGCCGCACACACTACAAATCTGAGAAATTTAGAACATTGTAGCGGATTACAAAGATTCTCTAGAACACCAGTCAAATATTAAAACGTCTTAGGTCAACAATTTTTAACCATCATATTTCCGACACCATCAGGCCTATACATTTTATATAAAAAAAAATTTGTAAAAAGGCATTGAAACATTGAAATTGTCTAAATAATGAATACATATTTATGATCTTGTATACCGCATCATAAAACAACCTTCAGACAAAACTAATCTTGGAAATAGTAAAAGATCTTAAATACAAAACATTCAACAAAAAAGAAAAATTTTTTGTTGCTGACGGGAGTCAATAATGGGAAGTATCTGGCCTCACCCCTTTGGACATAGACAGTTACATCTGTATTTATAAAATTTGTTTGCATATTTCTACGTGTCTATATAATTAGATTGCTTGCAAATATATATATTGTACATATCATTTCTTCGTTCGCTCTATGATGCAAATGTCTATGTCAGCTGCGACTAAATGTTCCATTAAGTCCTAACCTAGCGTACGTTGTAAAGTTTCATGTTAATTTAAGTTTTAATTGAAAATATGCCCGTCATGTCACTGCTCGTATGAACCTACTCACTTTCAGCTCGTAAAATTAACCTTCAAGAGACGAAAAGAAATCAGTAGAGTTCATTACACACCTTTTCCGTCAAATGAGTTTTAAAATATGAAAATTATACGTTCTGTTATTTTTTTGTTGAATTATTTTTCGTGTGCGACGCAGACTTCGAGTAGCGTGCAAAATAGAGATTAACCTACAAGATAGTTGCACCGTGAAAGTGTTCTAATTAGGTTTTCTATTATACAATTACACTATCGATGATACAGATAAACAAAAAGCATCTCATGTTGCCGAAGGAGATTCGTATCGATTTTAAATTAAAGCGCGACTGTTATATAATGCAATGCGTTTTGCTTTTGCAATATCAAAGCGATAAACGATAAGCTAACTTTTTTAAATATTAGTCTCACGATCGGAGGTGGGAGAAAGGGTAGATAGGATGGGGGTGACCTTGTAGAACAGTAAACAAATATTCTTAGAGGGGGCGCAAGCAAAACATTGAACAGTAACTACATTACAAAAATTAGAAAATGTGTTATTTCTATGACTGATAACTTTAGATCGATATTGACTTAACCGGAGAAAATTAGATGACCGCTCTCGGGTTCGAAATTGGGGATGGTGGTAATAAACAATAGCAATGGTCAAATATTTTAGTGTGAAATTTCAATAATCAAAATTCCTACGATCCAAACAAAATGACGACAGAAATTTGAAAAGAAAAAAATTGAGGAAGACCGTAATGAAACTTGTCTCGGTTGCCTTACTACCTGAAGGGTCAATTTTGAAGATTTTAATGTATGTACAGTTACGATTTTCAACAGTGACTATAACATTTACTTATATTTTAATAAGAACATGAAATGTTATAAGGGTGACTCTACTTGGGGTAATAATATTGAAACACAGGTATTTAAGAAATACCATGTATAAATTCATTGTACAGCAGTAAAATAGGGTTGACACCTTTAGACTACCTCTAGACGGTTATTAACGAACATTTTTCTTTCATTTAAAGCTTCATTATTCCTTTTTACTAAAATGTTTCAATTTTAACCCCTGCGAGTATTTGAGAAGGTCCTTGAGGTCCTTTAAATCTCTAGAAACTCTTCCGTGGTTCCATCTGGTATTTTCTTGTACAATTAACAGATAGGTACCTTGTAGTAGGTATTATAAGTAAGTACAAAAAAATTGCTACATTTTACAATACCTTTGCTGTATAATGTTTAGAAAAATTATAAAAATCTATAGATTTATTCTTCCTGGATAACTCTATTGATATCTCAAGGAAGTAACAGAGGAAAAATCACTACTCACGACCTAGTGTGGGAAGTATTATTATCCAGTTTGGAACCTAATATATATATATATATGTATAGTTAATAGCTAGAGGGAACTTGCCCATGTATCTATTGCTAATTAAACCTATTGTTCAATGTTTTTTAACGTTTACTTCACCAACTAAACGTTTTAAACGCGCGCTTTCGTTTTAGAGAAAGAAAAAAGGTCGTTTATAATATAATTTGCCAGTTTAGTTTACCAACGCAACGTTTGAAGGACAGGTAATTTCAGCAGTCGTCGATTCTAATCAGCTTAGCAGAGAGCTGTCGGTCATGACCCCGAAATTACAAGATTTAACCCAGCGATATGTGTGGGTAGGTATCATGTCAATTTTACCACTTTTGAATGGCATCTTTGTTTTTTTTTTCGTAGTGAAAGCTGCGAGGTATGCGCGAGAGCCTGAGGAAAATTCGGTGTGGCAAATTAAGGAATGAAAACGTAGCAAAACTATACATACTTAATTTAATATATCAGTCAATGATTATCTTTTTTAATTAATCGAACTGTTCTAAGTCGAACCTCTCGTGAATGCAACTAATTATGTTCAAGTTAGAGGAAATTCGAGTTTAAAGAAATTGTTTGCTTACAATTGCATAGTAAAGATCGAAAACCCGAAATCAGACAGTGGCCATTCAAAATTAAAACATAGAAATTCAACATAGCCATAACTAACATACAAAATAAAGTCATTGATCATAGCTGCGTCTAAATGCTCCGAAAAATATTAGTAGAAACTCTAAATCTTAAATCTTTCGAGTTAGAGAAATGAACAAATAGCTTAGAAGATATTTCGAATTAGTTTCATCCATTAATTAGATGCTTTAATTGGTCAACTGGTTCCAGAATGTTGTACTATCAGCGGAGGTAGATACCTACGATTTGATTTCAATGCAAAAACTCTTTTTTTGCCGTTTACGTCCGCTCATATTTTTCAAAAAACCTAATAAAGTCCTCTAACAATAAAATCTTAATTGAACGGTTCTACAGCATTTCAAGTATCTTTTCGGAGTTTTTCAATAACCTTAAATGGAAAAGTACAATTTTTAATAAAATATAAACATACTAACAAAACTGCGCTAGAGCATTGTTACGTGGTGAACACTAA